CAGATGCTGCTTCTCTTGTAGAAGTGTTAAGGCCGTTCTGCATGTGTGGAATTAGAGCAGAGGATGTAATGTCACATTCTTTCCCCTCCTCTCGCTCCACACAGAGTACCTGCACTGCACCGAAGGAGAGTGAAGAGCCCTGAGAGGAGGAACACGCATGCTGCCAGGTCTCACACTACGGAGGTAAGAGTTGGGAGGTGATACTGTGACAGTTGCAGGGCCCCCACAGGCAGGGGCCCACAACTATCGCTGGAATAAAGCACAAGAACTAATGCTGGGCCAGATGGGAGATCCAAGGCCCTGTCCATGCATCCGGGCCCCCTGACTGCCACAGGCCTGAGTGCCCGAGTGGTCAGTCCGCCCCTGGCGTACAATACTCCAAGTGAGGTCTCACCAGTGTGCGTGAGCACTTCTCTCTTTCTACTGCTAATGCCTCTCCCTATTAGGGATGTCAATGGGCAAAAAATTGGGCTCGGTTCGGCACTTCCGAAATTCAGGACTTCGGCATTCAGGACTTCGGCACTTTGGGAATTTGGGACTTCGGCACTTCGGCACTTCAAGACTTCGGAATTCTCTAGCCCTAACCCTACCCCTAACCCTACCCCTTACCCTAACCCTACCTCTACCCTAACCCTTACCCTAACCCTACTAGGGTTAGGGGTAGGGTTAGAGGAAGGTTGGGGTAAGGGTTAGTGGTAGGAGTAGGAGTAGGGTTAGGGCTAGGGTTAGAAGTAGGGTTGGGGGTAGGGTTAGGGTTAGATTCCTCTCATCATTCCCTTAATTTTCGCACCCTCTCCCATTTCAGAAACCCAAAGCACTTCAGCACTTCCTAAATTCAGCACTTCGGAAATTCAGAACCTCAGCAATTCCGACATTCGGAAGGATCCTAATGTCCTAATTTCTGAAATTCGTCCAAATTTAAATTCGTACTGAAATGAATTGCACATGTCTACTCCCTATACAACCAATCATTCTGCTAGCATTTCCTGCTGCTCTATTACATTGTCTGCCTACCTTTAAGTCATCTAAAATAATTACCCCTAAATCCCTTTCCTCATATGTTGAGGTTAGTAGGGTTTTAAATATTCTATACTCTGCCCTTGGGTTTTTACACCCAAGAGATATTACCTTGCACTCATCCACATTAAATGTCAGTTGCCACAGCTCTGATCATTTTTCTAATTTATCTAAATCATTTGCCACTTGGCTTATCCATCCTGGAACATCAACCCTGCTGCAAATTTTAGTATCATCAGCAAAAAACATACCTTACCATCAAGTCCTTCTGTAATATAACTAATACAAATATTAAAGAGAATGGGTCCAAATACAGATCCCTGAGGCACCCCACTGGTAACTAGACCTTGCTTCGAATATACTCTGTTGACTACAACGCTCTGTTACCTGTCATTTAGCCACTGCCTAACCCATTCAACAATATTGGAATCCAAACTTAAAGATTGCAGTTTATTGATGAGCCTTCTATGTGGAACAGTGTCAAAAGCCTTACTGAGGGGGGCGTAGCCTGACAGCCAAGCAGAGCAGACGCACAGTAAATGGGCTCCTGGGCTGAAAACCTAAAAACAACTAAAGCTACCAAAATTACCTACATACAACTGGCTTTTCAGCCCCAGTAACAGAGGTATGCAATGGAGACAACGCTAACTCGAGACCCTGAGCAACACTGGCGACCGCATCCAGAGGAGGGACCCAAGGCCTACCTGCGGCCTATCCGGGCGGCATGGGGGAGACGACCGATCCCCCAGCCGGCTGGGGCCCGTTACGCCGGGGGCCTGTCCAGAGCATCCTCTTCCCCCCCACCCACCGGTGGGGGTTATCCCGGCAACCAAAGCAAGTAACCTAAAGCAGAGGTACCAACTCCAGCATACAGACACAGCCGGGCCATCGACGCCCAAAATGGCGGACGCCATGAGGGATCAAGCACCCGAGTTCATCCTGCTCCCACTATCGGAAAGGATGGACCGACTTTTGGCGGACTTCTGGGCAAAAATAGACAGCCGCAGGGGCGACCCGGAGGGGGTCCCACTGGCGTCAGCTCCATGGGACTCCACAACGAAGCCTACACAGACGACACAGACCCAGAGGTAGACCAGGAAAGCAGCGAGACGGAGGCGGGAAACCCGATGCAGGCCTCAGCACTCCAACCCTCGACCACGGGTGAGTCGCCCAAAGCCTAAACAGGGGCTCACCCTGGGACCCCCCCAGCACAGCAACCCTCATAAGCGCAAGCAGAAACAGGGGGCACTACGAACATCGGGCAATCACTCACCTCAACGACCACCACTCGCTCCTCAGCAACAGCCAGCAGCTCAGACAGAGCACAAAGTTGTAAGATGGCGGCGGAGGGCTCAGCACTCACCTCTCCCATGCAAAGCTAGAAAGCTGAGGAGATCAGTGGAGCCAAGACCCCCTCAGGTGCCCAACGCAACAGGGGTGACACCGCTCCAACGGCACGGCCCAGCAACTATACACGGAAAACACCGCCCCAGGTATGCAGACAAGGCCTCCAGAACAGGCATTGGCTGAAGCAGACTGGACTGACACGTTGCACGGCTCACAGCCTGTGACCCTGCTCATAATGCAGAGACTCATTACCCGGAGGCAACAAAAATTTACTAAATTTTTTTTTTTTTTTGTGAATATGATTTTTATTTTCATCATATAACAAGAGTTAGTCAACTGTATGCATTCTGGGACCCGCAGGTCTCCATTTATAGGGCAACTGGTGAGACGCGCAGGCCTCGGAATCATTTATTTGTGTTCGGTTTCCGAGTTTACTAATTTTAAATGTGTGACCAGAAGCCCAGTATATTTATGTTTCCCTCTCTTATAATATCATAATAATGTCTCCTGAATCCCTCCTGCATAGATGAAAATGTATGCCACTCATAACTCTTACCTTGCATGTTGTGGTTACTTTTGTTTATTCTTAGGGAAAAGTAATCTTTTTTTTTTTTTTTTTTCTTATTCATGTTTTGATAACTACTAGCTGTCTGCCTCTACTTAAATGTACTTACATACAACACCACCTGGGGGGGCAACAACATACCAGCAGCTGGCGTGGGCTGACTCCTGAGATTTTTTAAGTTAACTGTCCTATTTATGCCAACGTACTCACTGTTAGACAGCCTAGCAGAGCTGATTTTACCAGTGCCTTATAGTTTTTGGTTCTGCCTAATGTGTCCCCTAGCGTACCTTTATGATGCCTCTATATGCCTTAGTGCCACCATGATCTACTCTGTCTTAACAAACAATATGTCTAATATCTACCAAGCCTAAATACCAATGTTTAATCATAAGATAGGAAGTAGCTCAGAAGTGTTACCTGATCTGCCATCACTAGCCCATGCCAAATGGTGACACCTTCCATGCAAATATAATAATCTATCGTATAAGCTGTGTTTAAAGCCTTGACTAGCTAAACAATTCCTGCTAAATGTTGAACAACTATGTTTTTACCTGTTATTCATATTATAAAATGTGCAAGTTTTTCCTGAGTGCCACGATGCCCATACAAACCAAGCACACTCAGGTCATAGATGTATACCTAAGCGAACTCGGACTGTTTATCCTAAAAACGCATTGCTCTGTCTTTTCAACACCTATGTCATTAAGCATACTTGAGGTGCTTGCCAATGTTGTTGGGGCACGACGAGTTATTCTGTTATATGTCATACATTGCACAACAAAATAAAGAATTTTAAAAAAAAAAAAAGCCTTACTGAAATCTACGTAAGCAATGTCTACTGCACCACCCTGATCTATTATTTTAGTTACCTAATCAAAAAAAATCAATACGATTAGTTTGGCATGATCTCCCTGAAGTAAACCCATGTTGTCTCTGATCTTGAAATCCATGTGATTTCAGATGTTCAACAATCCTATCCTTTAACATGGTTTCCATGTTACATCTACCCTGCATGCATTAAATTATACATGTATTTTCTCAATGTGTGTTTATCTAGAACAGCTTGCAAAAGTTGCTGACCTCTTGTCTGCTGCCTTTGCAAGTCCTCCCCTTCAAACCCTGCCCTACTTTTTATGACTTCCCAATGCAGCTCAATGAGACGTCTTTGCAAGGCAGATGTCTGGACAATTGCACAAGACTTGCCATTTTGGGGATACACTGACCAAGTCACCTAGGCATCATTATTTGGCCCTTGTCAAAGTCATTCAGATCTTTTCGCTTGCCGATTAGTCCTGTCTCCAACCCATGAAATTCAAGACTCGACTGTGTATTAGCTGCCTATTATATCTCACCCCTTGACAGGTGTGACAGCTGTCATGTAAAAATGTTATTCACTTCAACAGTCAGTGGCTTTAATGTTGTGTCTGATCAGTGTATACTAATGCTACAGCGTCCCTTTAATTTGAGGTCTCTATAACAGTACATACAAGTCCTACAAAACAGTCCAATTTCGAACCAATGTCCCTTGACCTCTGTTTTTTTCCCCAGTACCTACAAGCAGCATTCTGTCATTATGTAGAATTTATTCATTATTATAATTTCACATTGATTCATGTTCAAATGGGCATTTAACCCCTTAAGGACACATGACATGTGTGACACGTCATGATTCCCTTTTATTCCAGAAGTTTGGTCCTTAAGGGGTTAAAGGGAATATGCATATGTGACGTAAGACATACCCTGCATCCTTATTTGCGTGTGCCCGCCTCTAAATACTCTTTTTTTCTGCAAGTGACATTTCTTCACATTTCTTTTCTGGCTTCACTTTGTACAGTGGAAAGGTAGACCACATGTGCCTATCTATGTTAAAATATGTCTGATCTGAATTCTTTGTATTTTGTATGCGTTTTGTTTTCGTTTTTTTGTGCTTTTGTTTTTTAAGTGTGCAACTGATTGAGGTGGCCCTTGACCCTGATAAACCATGTATGTGCAGCTGCAGAGTCTCACAACCTTTTCCTAAGATATCTCGGCAGTGTTCAAGCCTCACTCTAACTATATCACCCAAGATTGAGTGGGGGTCGTCCCTGAGAATTTAGCTGCAGGTGTGTTTACAATAAAATACATATATATATAGGTGCATAGCTCCACATCCAAATTTGTGAAAGGATCCTAGGACCGACGTTATGGCTCGCTGGGTGACTCTCACCTTTGCGTTCTCCTGTCTCCTGGCTGCAGCCCACGCTGCAACGGTAAGACCAAAACTAGGGGGGTTTAAACCGTGGTGAAATATGTAGCTACTATTATGTTGCTAATATGTTGCTATTTCCTGGCAGACCTATACATTAAACTGGAAGTTGTTAGGCATTCACCAGTGTCTTTCAAAAGTTAGGTCAAAATAGAGAGTTGTTTGAGAAGTTTTTAAGGTTCGGTTATTTTGGCAAAAACATTTGAAATACTCAGATGAATTTCCGATGATTTCCAGTTCAGCGAATGAGCCTGTGGTTATCTTATCACTGTCATGACATCGCGGGCTGGTTTTATGCAGGTAGTTATGGTTACATAGTTCTAACCATGAAGCAATTTCCATGGAAACCAGTGGAATGTTGTTGCTGGTTGCTCCATGTTAGCATTTTGCTCTACAATAGTCTATATACTTGTGGTCCAAAGTTTGGAATCAGTTTTATCCAAAGACTTTGTTCACCAAACTTATGTAGTAGTTATTGGCATAATTTAAATATTTTTACTATATATATATATATATATATATATATATATATATATATAGTTAATGCAATGTTAAACAAAAATCTGCACACCAGTCAAGCCATAAGACTTGCTTTTCCCAGAGAAATCACAAATCTGCAGTGATGTTACTACCGCAAAGGATTCTGGGTAGGCATATGCAAATTAGTTTAACAAAACAGACTTCAGGTGGAAGGGGTTTTCAATCACAATTTTTCCCCACCATAACCTATCTGGATTTTGCTTCCCAAGCACTACCAAGCCTCAATAAGCAAACCAGTAACCAACCTCATGCTGATGAGTTACATTAACAACGAAACAGCTGTCCATGAGTGGTTTACTGGCTTTGCATCTTTTCCTAAGTTGTGTTTCAAAGCTGTTATATACAGCAAACACAGATTAAAAGGAATCCATGTTTAAAATGTAATGAGGCAAAAATGTGATTCTTTGTTAAACTAATTTGCATATGTCCGCCCAGAATCCTTTGCGGTAGTAACATCACTGCAGATTTGTGATTTCTGTGGGAAAAGCAAGTCTTATGGCTTGACTGGTGTGCAGATTTTTGTTTAACATTGTATTAACTATCCACAGACCTCAGGTGGAAGGGGTTTTCAATTACAATTTTTCCCCACCGTAAACTATTTGGATATATATATATATATACACACACATACACACACACTCTCACACTCTATTCCACACCCAATCTAACCAATCAGTGTCCTATCCTTAGGAATGCTGTAAAAGGCATGCCTGACAGATTTACACATGGGCAGTTGAAAATCTTTTCACCTTGCAATATCCTTACAGGGGAGTCTGGTCAGTGTGATCAAGCAGAGCAGGCTCCAGTATCCAGTTTCTCTCCCTTGCTGCCCTGTTTTTGTCATTAGTGGGTAACAGGGAGGGGAAGGCTTAAAAACGTCGCTTGCTGACTGGCATCTCTAACAATACAATCTGACCAAGTTTATAGTAAGTTTATAAATTTTATTACATACTTATTAAAGTTTTTCTTTATTTATTTTGGCTTGTATATTTGTTTAAAAGTGTTTGCTGTTTTAAATAATTTATTCTCAAGTGATGCATGTTCTTTTAAGCATATGCTCTAAGAGCTTCTGCACTGTCGGCTTGTATAAGTGTTTTATATTTTCCAATTTATATAACTTCACTCACAGCACAATCACAATGACAACAGGGTTCAGTCCCTTGAGGGTTCAACTCTTACCTTGCCCTCTTAAAAGTGTTACCATGGTAGCCTTGATTGCTGTGACTGTGGAAGATAAATGTGATAACCACAGAATGGCCAAGATGATATGACTTCACTTCTGCTGTAATAAATATATCTTTATAAGAAGGTTAATTTTTTATTATGTTGTTCTTTGGAGCCGAGAAGATGTACAACTCCAGTAATGGCGACTGGTCAGGGGAATCAGAGATGTACTGATTCACTGAAATCACAGTGTCCTGCTTTATATATGCCTGTGCTAATGTTACACTATGCACGGGGAATATCTTGTAATGGTGAACTCTTGTATTTACAGCTGGGAGTTGTCCATACTGAAGGGGGATTTGTAGAGGGAACAAGCAAAAAAATCGGCATTCTATCCCCGAGTTACATTGACATTTTCAAGGGGATTCCCTTTGCTGCACCACCAAAGGTTCTTGAAAAAGCAGGACCCCATCCTGGCTGGTCAGGTAAATTCTTGCTCGTTCCTACCTTTATACAGCATACTATAGGATTCGGCTCTGTTTTGCATATTAATTCCCTTAAAACAACCACCAGTCTACACCTCTGTTCCTTTTTTTTTTTTAATGTATTCTTTATTTTTGTAGTGCAATGTGAATAACACATATAATGAGAGGCATTACAAAAATAAGTTTAAACAAAAATTGGATTACAGACATGTCTGAAATACTACACTTTTTTTTAAATCATAATAATAGCAGTTGCTGGTACAATAAACAACAGGAGATAAATAGCATGTTAGAGATCAGCATGGAGGGTAAAACAAGCATAAAATTGAACAGTGCCAAAACTAAAGACATCGTAGGCTGTGGGTGGGTGAGTGATATCTCTTGCAAGTTCCTTGTACAGGAGGAAGAATGCGGAGACAGGACTCCAGGTAAGCAGCGATATCTTTTTAGCCTATGCGTGCTGGGTTTACCTCGCAGTCCAACCTGATGGTGCTATCCAGAGAGGGTAAAACACTGGCCCATAGGGTTTTGATTATCTTGCGGGCAAGTAAGGAGGGCCCAGGTAGGGTATGTTGTGAGAGGTTTCCTGCAGGCTGCTGCACCGATGTCTTCTGCACATATGTATCAGGTGCCTGGCATGTAGGAGGCTTGTGCCCCCTGAGTTGTGATTTGCTGCAGCCGAATCTGTCGTACCCTCCCAGATGGTTTTTGCCCCAGTCCGCATCAAACACATGGCCCTCTGTGGGGAGCCTCTAACTGGCTATGTAAAGAGTATCGCAGGTACAACGGGGGCAATGCAGATATCAGTGGTTCACCTCTTGTTGCTTTCATGGGGTCTCTGAGCCTGGACCAAAATTCCTCAAACAGCCTGTCCAGGCCTTACAAGATGGAGGCTGCGTCCCTCACACTGTTTATGAATAGACCGCTGATAGACCATAGGTCTGCTTCAAACCGGATCCACCACATACGACTGGACCTGCAGCTGGAAGTGCTCCACGAAGAGGTACAGCTTCACTTCAGGTAAGTATATGTCACAGGATGTGTGCAATAAGGTTTAGAAGAAAGGCTTAATCAGCAACCCCTGGCACGGAGCTCTCAGGATTTGAGTCCCATTGCCAAGGCGGTCAGGCACCGCCGCCCCCTCTTTTTTTTTTTTATGTCAGTCAACTTTATCACCTGCTACCACTACTTAAAAAAATACATTTGATTTTACTTTTTGATGGTCTAGACCAGTGGCAACCTATGGCACTCCAGGTGTTGTGGACTTAATTTCCCTTGATGCTTTGCCTGTTTTATGGTGATAGGAGCATTGTGGGAGATATAGTAACTGTGATGACGTGCCCTTCGCCACTTGTGCCTGGAGAGGACTAATTGCCAGCCTCCTGCCATGTGACTATGGTCCCTGGGAGACTTTGCCAGTTAAAAAGACTATTTGGGCTTATTGTCTTTTAAAATACTGTTTCTGCCCTTTGATTCCATGGGAGCATGTGTCTCTTCCCCTCCCCCTCTAATACCTATACCATTGTTCTCCAGCAAGGCGTTGTCCCAGGGACACTGCCAAACCAGTTGAAACAAGCTGTTTTGTCCCAAATAGGACTTTTACGTAACTTTTGAACTACTGGAGGGAATTGTATGATTTTTGGGTATGTTTATAATTAAAGTGTGCTGGGTTCGAATGTGTGATTTTTTATGTTTGTGGCATGTATATTTTGGAAGTTATTAATATGTTGCATAAAGCGTATTTGTCCTGCCTGTGATAAATGGCATTAACACATTGTGTTCAGTAATTAGATCACAGGCAGAGGGGAGGGATTGTATGTTGGTGCTGGGTGTGTTTTATGGTTTGCCTGTAAAGGATTGGTTGTACTGTGTCCCACCCTGTGGGATGTCCCCTTTCATGGGGACTTGCATAAAAGCCAGTGTGTGGTCATTAAAAAGCAGATCATCTTGTACCTTTCTTGAAGCCTTGGCTCATGTTTGGGGGATTGGAGCACTACACTCTGTGGATTGCTATAATTACTATACTCCCCAGGGTATGATCACTAAGCTCTGCTAAGAGCTTGTTCCTGTTCCTGCTCTCTGGGGAAAGAGAGGTTCACCCACTGGAAGCTGGATCCTGGCCTCGGGTCCAGGGTGGGTGGAGACAGCGAGACCCCGGCGCAGCTGCATTGCTGGAAGTGGGGTCTGCAGTGCTGATGGTGTCGGTTGGAGTGCTTGGAGTCCTCAGAGAGCACTAGGAGCATCGATTGGCGGAGGTACTCAGTCGGAGTGCCAGCGGTCCGTCACAGTAACTACTTACTTTCTGGACTGTGGTCCCCCATTCTTGCAACAGGACATGTATGAATTTTCCATGTATTCTTATAAGTTCTCACTAGTAGTAATTTTTTTCTGTAAAAGCTATAACATTTTTAGGAATTTCATGTGTTCGACCCAGATGCTCCAAGTTTTTCACTTCAGTATGGAGTCTTGTAGAACATATTTCTTATCTCCAAATTGCAAATGGCTTGTTTCCCCATGAAGACCTCACCATGGCCCTCCACAACAGCAGATGTAATATTCCTTTCCTAGATGATTCTGCCCTTTTATGGACAATGCCACTCACTCATTGTACAGATGGTCCATGTGAGGACCCTCACCCAGACCTTCAATCTTTCTTCCTCCTTAGGAAAAGGCAGAAATCGCCACTATTATAGATTGTAATTTCATGAGCAGAGTCCTCAACTCCCATTGTATCTATAAATGTAATTATTGTATCTGTTTTCTGTCAAATTCTAATTTTAGAGATCCACACAATTCAATGAAAAATCCACCACACATAAATTAAACAAGTAACAACATGAGGTGCTTTAAATATATATAATTGTTTAAAATGTTTTTTTGGGGTAAGACAAATTTCCCTTTCAAATATACAGTAAGCTTCCTAAATTCAACAACGGGTTCATGTTCTATCTCTTTAGGTACCCTAAAGGCCAAAGACTTCAAGGAAAGATGTTTGCAATCCGACTTAGCCCAGAATGGCATTCGTGGAGAATTGGACTGCCTGTATTTGAACATTTGGGTTCCCCAGTCCCGCTCAGAAGGTCAGTTGCTATGATACTGGACACAGAAATGGCGTACTACATGCAAGAATTTTTCAAACTAGAATTGCTCATCTACTCAAATTCTCTGCATATTTTCATATTCATTATACTGATGCAACAATGGAATAATTCATTAAACCAAGTAACTTCTAAATACTGAATAGAATATTACTCTGAACTATCCCCAAAATATATATATGGAAGAAAAAGTCTACCAAAGTTATTCACTGAGCTGGAAATTGACCAAATAATTGCAAATTAAATGGGAAAAGATTGTTGAACTGAAAATGCGTCTAGAACTAGTTTGATTACGTTTGGAGAAACTTATTTATGTGCCATGCAAATTTAGGGCCTTCAAGTTAATAGATCACCACACTGGATTTACTGTGCTGGTTAACCATCCAGCATTTCCCTAGTCCCAGCTTATTGTTCTCTCTGTTGCCCAACTCTTGATAGGACTGTAATAACAAGATTGTTGGGCAAAGCAACACAATCAGCCTCTTATCATTAAATTGCAGATTGGCTTGGACTGGTAATTTTTTTTTTTACAGTAGCAAATTCAGCATTTCCTATTATTATTTGTAATGAACTTCTCTTTTTCTCAGTATCTACAAATCTGCCAGTTATGGTCTGGATCTACGGTGGAGCCTTCCTTCTTGGTGGAGCTCAAGGGGCCAATGTCTTGGGCAATTATCTGTACGATGGAGAGGAAATTGCTCTTCGTGGCAATGTAATTGTGGTAACCTTGAACTACCGTGTTGGACCTTTAGGTTTTCTCAGCACTGGAGATTCTAATATGCCTGGTAAGACCCAATTCCATCATGTTCTGTACCAACATCTTTCTGGGGAGCATCTTAATCTGTTCATAGATTAATCAAATATGGAGCTGAGATTTGCATTAACACTTAGAATTCCTTTTATGTTATCTAAAAAGGTATTAAACCATTTCATTAATGGCCAGAATAATGGCACACAGGTCCGCTGTAAAAGATTTGAGAAGTCAGTGTTGTTTTTACATCCCTAATTAAATGTATGCTTCTTGCACACAGGTAACTATGGACTGTGGGATCAACATATGGCTATTGCTTGGGTAAAAAGAAATATTGCTGCCTTTGGAGGTGACTCCAGCAATATTACCATATTCGGAGAGTCAGCCGGAGGTGCCAGTGTGTCTCTGCAGGTACAGAACTGAGTTGGCAACATACCTGGATTCAGGACAGAATTTACATATCAGAACAGAGCTATTCTTTGCTTTAGTTATTCTACGTGGTTGCCTGTGTGTACATAAAAAATTCATAAATTGTGCAGTGTTTTTCTAGGTGGGCACTACCATTCCACACCTCTCGTAATGAGTATCCTCAGTAAAACTATCCTGGAAAATAAAGAGTTTGTGCAGCATCACATGAGTGTATGATCATACAATCCAGATAAAGTGTTCCAGTGTGAAGTGGACCCAAAGATGTTGTTTGGTTTTAGCTTCATTTGGCAACTGGCCATTAAAGTGCCAGTATGTTCTGCCACACCGTACAACTGGGACGTCATGTATGAGATGTAAGGGTGGATCTAGATTTAGATTTTATACATATAAGTTCTGGATCCTTGAGCTCATCATGGTTTTCTTTTTGTTTGTTTTTTTATGCAGACTCTGACCCCTTACAATGTTGGACTGATCAAGCGAGCAATCAGCCAGAGTGGAGTTGGACTTTGCCCTTGGGCAATTCAACAAGAACCGCTAAAGAATGCTAAAGAGGTAATAATCCATTTTAACCAGGCACTTGATCAAAGCATTTATTCCAAGCTTTGGTGGCCAATCTTCTGTAGATACCAAGTAACCAATCGAAATATGGCCAACTGTGCTTTCTCCTCTCTATTCCACTAAAGTGCTTTGTGTGGGCTTATATCAACTCTAGCTGTTACAGGTTACCTAATTCTTATTCTGCACATATGGAGGGTATACCAGGAAAGCCCTTCGAATCACAGTTGCCTAACTATGCCTATAAACAAGTATATATTTTTTTATCCTGCTGTTTTATTTATGGCGTCTGCATTCCCAAACATGGAATCAGATGCCTTGCAAATTTCTATGAGCTGGGATTTTTTTTTTAAATTCGTTATTTAAGGTGCTTTTCATTTTTACACAAAATGGATGTGAATACAACATACATAAGTGTTAACATTACAGGAATTAACAGTACACATGGTTACATGAATTTTGAAGCCGATCCATAGCAGGAATAGCTATTTGGGCCATGCAATAATATACATTATGCATTGGGATCGTAACATGTAAACAATACTGGGCCTAACAGTGTCTTAGGACAATAGTATAAGAAAAGAGAAAGAGAAAAGACAGTACCCAAAGAAGAAAGGAATTTTTAAAAAATATTTACAAATAAAGTCGTGTATGTGAGTATGGTACCCCTGTTAATTTGGAGTATGTCTCCGGTTTTCTATATTAGATGGTCCACATGTTGCGTCTTAGCCATTTGAGCTTGTTGCCTTCGTATAAGGGGCAACATACTGGATGGTATCAGGCATATTTTCTGGGTGCACCTCATGAGTCACTTGGCAGGCGAGCAAACTGGAGTCAATTCCCTCTAAAGGTATATAGGTCTCTATGAGGGCAAGCTGTGAGATCTGTGAAATGTGAGTCGGAATCGAGTTCCATCATGAGCTGGGATTTTTAAACTCTCTTATTCACTTTTTGGTGTCACCCCTACATTGTATTTTAATATTGATAGTTGCCCTTCTATGACATTTATTCTGAACCTTATTTCGAGGATGGAAATATGATGGATCTCACATAATAGCTAATAATGTCTACCCTCCTTAATAGCTTTGCAAAGGGTGAAAGCATACAAGATAAAATATATCTGTTCATAGACAAAATATTATTTTTGAACAGTGTATAGGTGGATTTTATGAATTAGCTATGCTTGTCAATATTAAAATATAAGTTTCATTTTTTTCAAGTACTACATAGTGACACTGCAGTCAATGCTTTCTAAAATTCTAAGAAAGTCTAATTCTGCTGAATAAAGGTTGACATTTTTTCTTGGCACCTGAATATTGTCTGGATGTTTGGCTCAGCCAAATTTTAATTTGGGAACCAAATCAAGAGAAGAAGAATCGGCCAATTGTCCATTTGTGTAATATTATCTGTATATTTTGCGCTACAATGATAGGATCATTTCCCCATTTGGTTCACAGGTCAAGTGAGAAAAAGTAACCAGTAGAGGGAAAAACACATTATATATGTTTGTATTATATATTTATTAAATATATATTGATCACTTCTCGCTTGATCTGTAAATAAAATCAACATTTAGTGACTGCACCCTAGCCATCAATCCCCTCTTTTTTGGTGCCCCAGAAACACATTTGCCATTGTGCGGTTCTGTTAGTCCATAAATACGAACAAGTTCAGTTGAGTTGTAGTTTGGTCTTAAACAAATGTCCAAGCTTTCCAAAATTGTATGAAATTGACATGGTTAATGTGGACGTTTAATACACTAGAGCTGCAGGCACCTACGGTACCCTCAAACTGTGCAGAACCAGGGAACAGAGCCTGTACCCTTGTAATACCATAACCACTACAAACTGTATGTAGTTATTATGGTGCTTAGAGTATCCCTTTAAAAGTCACGTGGAAGAATGTTTAACTTTAAAGGACCACTATAGTGCCAGGAAAACATACTCGTTTTCCTGGCATTATAGTGCCCTGAGGGTGCCCCCACCCTTAGGGTTCCCCTCCCACCAGGCTCTAGGGGGAGGAAGGGGTTAAACTTACCTCTTTCTCCAGAGCCGGACGGGGAGCTCTCCTCCTCCTCGGCTGAATGCGCATGCGTGGCAAGAGCTGCACGCGCATTCAGCCAGTCTCATAGGAAAGCATTTACAATGCTTTTCTATGGACACTGGCGTCTTCTCACTGTGAAAATCAAAGTGAGAAGCACGGAAGCGCCTCTAGCGGCTGTCAATGAGACAGCCATTAGAGGCTGGATTAACCCTAACATAAACATAGCAGTTTCTCTGAAACTGCTATGTTTATAGAAAAAAGGGTTAACCCTAGCTGGACCTGGCACCCAGACCACTTCATTAAGCTGAAGTGGTCTGGATGCCTATAGTGGTCCTTTAATGAACAACCATGACAGGTGCTTCTTTTCTTTTCTGACCACATTCTTTCAATCTCTTGGTAGGATTTTTTTCCAGGAAGCAGAGGCTTTCTTGATCTGTTCATTGCTTCATTTTATAGAGTTTTCTTTGTTTTTTCAGCTTGGAGCTAAAGTTGGATGTCCTATTCACGATTCAGCAGTTCTTGCCAGTTGCTTGAAAACTACTGACCCCAGTGCCCTTACCGCAGCGTATAGTCTGCAGCTGACAGGTCTAGAATGTGAGTTGTCACTTTAGGAAAATTGTGACTATAGGGGATTCTGAGAGCCGAAAGAAATTCTAAAGCACACTGCTACCTGGTTGCATTGGACCAGAACAGACTCTAAATTCTTTAAACCTTTACCCTTCTTAGTTGGGTGTTCTGCGGTTTGAGCTAACAAAGTCACTGTAGCTGTGGACAGCTTTGCTTTCCGGTTACTACATTTATAAAATAACACACACAGTAAGGGGCACAAAAATCAAGACAGGACAGTGAAACACAAGAAAACTAAACAAGTCAGACTGTGATTGTGGAGGCAATTATTATTATTTTTTACATTTATATAGCGTCAACATATTCCATAGCGCTTTACAATATTATAAGAGTTGAAAATTTATGAGACAATTACAAAAATTTATAGGAGCAGTAGGTTGGTGAGGATTTTGCTCAAATGAGCTTACAGTCTAAAGGAGGTGGGATATAAAACACAATAGGACAGGGTACAGCAATCAAACAAGGTGGGAGTGAAGCAGAACTGGAGGAGAGACTTGAGTGCTGCCTTTTAAGAGAGAGCAAGGACAGTTATGTGAGGTAGAGGTAACTCTAGGAGGCCATAAGCTTTCCTGAAGAAATGGGTTTTGAAGGACTTTCTAAAGGATTGAAGGCTAGAGATAGTCTAATGGGGGTAGGCAAGCTATTCCAAAGGTAAGGAGCCGCCCGTGAGAAAAAGCAGTATGTGTGCGAGCAGTGGACAGAACGAAGAGACGAAGAAGGGGCATTCCTATTATTATTATTATTATTGCCGTTTATATAGCGCCAACAGATTCCGTAGCGCTTTACAATATTATGAGAGGGGATTTAACTATAAATAGGACAATTACAAATAAACTTACAGGAACAATAGGTTGAAGAGGACCCTGCTCAATCGAGCTTACATTCTATAGGAATGAATCAGAAAAGATATAACAGGGGTTAGAGTTGTTTAGAGCTTTATAGGTAAGGATTAGTATTTTGAATTGACTACTATAGGATACAGGAAGCCAATGGAGTGAGGTGTAAGAGGAGTGACTGGAGAGGTAATTCAGTCTGGCATCAACATTCATTACAGACTGGAGTGGGGCAGTATGGTTTTTGGGAAAGTCATTTAGGAAAGAATTACAATAGTAGGCAATGAAACACAACTGGGAATGGACTGAAACCCTTCAAAGAGGAGTGAAATAAATGTAAAAAAGACAAAAGGAGAATAAGAAAAGTAGGGAGGAGGCTTGAAACACAAAAAATGGAGGAACTAAAAACAAAATGGCACAAGGAGAGAAGGATGGCAAAGGAAGTGACAAAAAGGGAGAGAGAGAGGTAAAATAGGGCAGGCTGGGTATTAAGAGGATCAGAAGCAGAATAATAATTGAATGTTTGTAACTTTTCTGTTAGCAAGTGAGCAACATTCTTTTTTTTCATGACAGACCCCGTGGTTTATTATCTGGTTTTCTCCCCTGTCATCGATGGGGACTTCCTCCCTGATGATCCAAGGAATCTGTTCTCCAATGCTGCCGATGTGGATTATCTAGCAGGAGTAAACAACATGGATGCCCACATGTTTGCAGGCGTTGATTTGCCAGTTATAAATGAACCACTCCAGAAAATTTCTGCGTATGTCTAGTTTTCATGCCTTGATCATTAGATGAGAGAGATAAGTAGTAATGTATGAATGAATGATGTCAACTGGTAATGACTGGAGATCTGATTAATTATGTCAACTGGTAATGATTGAGAATCTGATGAATGATATCAACTGGTAATGGTGGTCAGAGGATATAAAATTAGAGAATGGATCTCAGGTTTTGAATGGACCACTAACCAATGGATTATGTAATTGGTGTATTACTGAAATCTGAGGGGGAATTGATTATGTCAACTGGTAAATATCCATGTCATGCACCGATCTTATAATAATGTTCTGTCTTATAGAGCTAACATAGAGAAACTAGTGGAGGGACTGACCCTTCCTAAAGGCACAGGGGGATTCAACATTGCATACGACCTTTACACCACAAACTGGGGACCAAGTCCAAGTCAGGAGCAGATGAAGAAGACCGTTATTGAAATTGAAACTGATTACATTTTCCTTGTACCAACACAAGAAGCATTGGGACTTCATTACCAGAATGCTAGGTAAGTTGTTTAGTTTTCTTTTTGTTTTTAAACCTAAAAGAGTAGGTGTTATTAAAAAAATGATGGGCCTTTATTTACAAATTTAAAGTTCCATTATCTATAAAAAATAATATGTCTGACATTTGTTTAGCAATGACATATGGCTGTCTTTAACCCTTTGAATACCAGTTGAAAGAGGTATGATAGTGCTCACATTGTTTTCAATGGTGTTCTCATTATATTTTTTCACAGTTTCATGTCATATGATTCTGATGTCATATGAAAGCAGCTTCATAATGTTACCATATAAAGTAGTGACAATTTTATCTCAGCATTTCCAAGATGAGATGTTTAAAGTGAATCCGTATTATCCACAACAAAGGATTTCAAGATAGACAACCCTGAGTGAAGTTGACGTATAATCGCTTTAAGACATTGTTGAGATATTAATATTCAATGCTTACATACATGGTTTTGGAATAGTGTGAGTGACCATTTTGTACCAGATCCCATGTGTGCATAACCCCAAATCTTCATTCTTAATCCTAGGACTGCAAAGACATACAGTTACCTCTTCTCTCACCCATCCCGTATGCCCATATACCCAAGCTGGGTAGGAGCTGATCATGCTGATGACCTGCAATATGTATTTGGAAAACCCTTCAATAACGAACTGGCTTACAGACCTAAGGACAGAGACGTTGCCTCTGCCTTGATTGCTTATTGGACAAACTTTGCAGCAACTGGGTAAGGACAAATCATCATTGTTTTCTGTACTCCACCAGAGTTGTGTTTGTTCTTCATGAATACCACAGATGAACTAAGCAGGGGATGGGTGTATTCTATTCACAGCTGTAAACCTGTGAGTTTCTGTTTTCAAAAACCTAGTTTACAAGTTAGTTAAAGGAACACTCCAATCACCATAACCACTACAGCTAGGTCTACCACCATTCTTAGAAAAAATACCGGCAATGCTAATTTGCATAATTAAATATATGCGTGGCATCAACTTTTGTTATAAATGATATGTTTGATTGACAAATTCAACGTAGGTAAAAGGCTAATGGATTGGGAGCATAACAATGGAAATACATCCTAGGAAACACGTTTTTCAATATACAACAGTGTGACTGTAATGGTCGCTAAACATTGGACTATCGGGTGCTGTTACACTCACTGTGGTATACTCTTATGGGGGGAGGTGTAATAAGCTATTACACCAGGTTTTTCGCTATTTAGTAAGAATAAAACAAATGAACACAAATAAAAAAATAATAATTAAAATTAAAAATAAAATATTTACAGTCATTAATCATCGGGGTGTTCTATGCCCATGGAGCACTGCCTAGGAGATGGGAGATAAGGAAAAAGGGAGATAAGGATAAAGAAAGTATGTACAGTTTCAGCCATTTGGGCCTGTTTTATCCTATTGTGGTCAGTTGTTGTTAGGGATGAAGGGTTGTACCTTCTCCACATCCCAACGGTGTGCCCTCAGTGGAGGCTGTCTTGGTTGATCAGTCAGGAAGAGGCCCATCGCTTGCAGGAAGGCTTGTGATTAAGCAGCATCAGTGAAACAGTGCCGAGTGCCATCTTTGGTGACTTGAAGTGAGCGTGGATTACTCCATCTATAAGAGATTCCATTCTCCCATAGGATGCTAATAACAGGGTGTAGGGAGCATCTCCACTGCAGAGTGGCCTTGGACAGGTCTAAGTAGAAAGTAAGCATGTGCGATTCGAATTCGCATGAGGAAGAGCCAGCGACTGCTGCTAGCACTGCCATTTTATCCAGAGAGGACACAAACTGCACTATGAGGTCCTTGTGGAGGGCTCCTGGCCGTTTTGGTGGTTTGGGTATGAGGTAGTACTGATTAATATGATTGCCTTCACTATTTTTTGTGGGAGTGGGTGGTGAAACAAGCGGCACAGATATTAGGGTAACTCGGCCGTGACCACCCCCTAGAGCTTAACATGTTGCATCAGCTTTTGTCTTTTCGCTACCATGCCTTCTTGGGCCCGGAGAGCTTTATCCTGCCCGTGAGGGAGCGCACATCTTCCCGGATTATTGCCAGGTCTGCTTGGAACAGGGATCTGATGTCCTTTAGAAGTGACTTAATGTCCCGCTTGGTAGCCGGCATGTAACAGTCTTCATCTGAGGATGTATGGTGAGGTCGAGGGTATCTAGAAAGGGCTCCTCATCGGAGGAAGTATTCGTGGCCGTGTTGGCCATCTGTATGAATACACCCAAAAAATAAAAGGAAAACCTGTAAGTGTTATTACATCACACCCACAGCTGTTAGCAAGCCATAATTCACAGGAACATATGTCAGCGTAAACCACAGGAAGTGGCTGGCAGAGATTCTAGTGGGAATTATTTTATCTAACAGCCTGAGAGTAGGTATATAAATAAAAGTGTGACTCAAAAGATTCACCTTCCAGCTTCAGTGTCACAAATGATACCCTTTTCATATGAAGTATAATTAATGAATTCATTTATTTTTATTTATTTCACAGAGATCCCAACACTGGGAAATCCAAGGTCCCTACCCCTTGGCTGCCTTACAATACTTATTATGGCCAGTATCTAGAAATCAATAGTTCCATCAGCTACCAGTCTATGAAACAGAGTCTTCGTTCACCTTATGTCAGATTCTGGGTCCAGACCTACCGGAACCTACCCACACTCTAAACAACTAACCATTAAGATGATGTTTCAGCAACTCTAATGTGTGGTTTTAATGTGGATATGTTATGTTCTTTTGGATGGATTCTGACTCGATATGAGGGATTGTTAAAAGAATTGCTGAATAAAACAAAAATGTCTGTTACCTACCAAGGCTTTATAGTCATTCTGATATATCTATTACAATTGTCATTATTTTCTGTTTATGGTTTTCAAATGGTGTAATTGTTTTATATGTAATTGGATTAATGGTAACTCTAAATAATCTGGAAGATGGATTTGAGAAGATGACTGGAATGCCTTATACAGTATGTCTGTCAGATAAAGTGGTCAAAGTTCCAGTCAAGCTAAGTTGTGTGCCTCATTCCGGGGACCCGAAGGGAGTGGGCTAAATGTCCATGGGTCTCACAATAACAATCACTACCTCAGCATAGGCAGGGCTGACCATAGGCCTTCATAAACACTGTGTGAAAATTAGGAATGATGTCCCTCACATCTGTCATTACTTACCATCATTAATCATATAAAAAGGTACATTTTTATTTACTGTAATTTGTAATGCATTAAATAGATGATAAAAAATAAATAAATATACACTTCCTTTGATGAGCAGTTATCAAACCAGGAAGTGGCTAAAACAATTTCAACTAATCCTAAATACAGTCATTGGAAAAAGTATGTAACTGATCAGCAGCAAGTCCAACCTTTTCTATAAGAGCTGAAGTTTTAGCAGTTTGCTGGTCTGAAACATTCAGGTGTGTTAACACAATGCCAAGGAGGTAAGACACCAGCAATTGTTGCTGCCCAACTAACTGGGAATGCTTATAAGGCAATTTACAAACAATTTAAAGGCCATGATTCTACAATGATCAAGATTATTTAAAAGTGAAAAACATTCAAGACAGTTTCCAATCTTCCCAGGAGTAGACTTCCCAGTAAATTCAGATCCAAGAATTACATCTCAGACTCTACAGGCCTCAGTTAGCATGCTAAATGTTAACATTCATGACAGTACAAATAAAAAATGACTGAGCAAGTATGGTTTGTTTGGAAGGGTTGCCAGGAGAAAGCATCTTCTCTCGAAAAAGAACATGGCAGTACAGCTTAGTTTTGCAAAGTTGCATCTGAACAAACCATAAGACTTCTGGTACAGACAAGACCAAAGTGGAGATGTTTGGCCATAATGCACAGTACCACGTTTGCTGAAAACAAAACACAGCAAATCAGAACAAACCCCTCATACCAACTGTCAAGCATGGTGGTGGATGGGTGATGACTTGGGCTTGTGTTGCAGCCATAGGACCTGGGAACCTTGCAGTCATTGAGTCGACCATGAACTCTGTATACCAAAGTATTCTAGAGTCAAATGTGAGGCCATCTGTTTGACAGCTCAAGCTTGGCCAAAACTGGGTCATGCAACAGGACAATGATCACAAGCTCACCATTCTACAACAGAATGTCTGAAAAAGAAAAGAATCAAGGTGTTGCAATAGCCCAGTGAGAGTCCTGACCTAAACCCGATTGAAGTAAAGTTGTGGTACCTTAAGAGAGCTACGCATCAACGAATGCCAGCATACCTCAATGAACTCAAGCAAGGTGTTAAAGAAGAGTGGGCCACAATTCCTCCACAATGATGTGAGAGACTGATAAAGTCATACAGAAAACAAATACTATTGCTGCTAAAGGTGGTTCTACAGGCTACTGAATCATAAGGTGTACTTAGTTCTTCACACATGTCTTCTCCATTTTGGCTTTATTTTTTGTAAAATAAATCATGACATGGTGTAATATGTCATGTGTTGTTCATCTGAGGTTGTATTTACTTAATTTTAAGACCTGCTAAAGAACAGATGAGGGGGCGGGGCCATGCACAGATCACTGTGTTAAGTCTGGGGGCGGGGCCATGCACAGATCACTGTGTTCAGTCTGGGGGTGGGGCCATGCACAGATCACTGTGTTCAGTCTGGGGGTGGGGCCATGCACAGATCGCTGTGTTCAGTCTGAGGGGGCGGGGCCATGCACAGATCGCTGTGCTCAGTTTGAGGGGGCAGGGCAATGCACAGATCACTGTGCTCAGTCTGAGGGGGCGGGGCCATGCACAGATCACTGTGCTCAGTCTGAGGGGGCGGGGCCATGCACAGATCACTGTGCTCAGTCTGAGGGGGCGTGGCAAAAAGTTAAGTAAAACCTTTATTTCCTATTTTTATTTAGTTATAAGGTGGGACCCTGAACCTAAGTAACAAGGAGAACTCTAGTGTTAGTAATACGGGTTTGTATTCATATGGTATATGCTATGGTGTTCCTTTAATCAGTTTTCAGAATGTTATTACTGTATGTTTTCTCATGGTGAATAAGTTATATATAATTATTCCTGTATTATTGGTTTTGATTTAATCGATTAAAAGGAATTGCGGTACGTCCGCGGCAAATAGGATCCCCTGGACTTACCTGGACCAGCGATCTGCAGGTTTGGGGGGGGACTGCAGGAGACCCCAGCAGTCCCCCTGCAGCAGCTCAGGCCAATCAGGCCCTCAAGGGCCATGTGATCACCATTATCACCAGGGGCGGACTGACCGGTCGGGCACTTCGGACACGGTCCGAGGGCCCTGCCGGGAGGGGGGCCCGCCGCCAGGGCCGCCTTCAGGGGGCCCGGCGGCAGGGCTGATTGGGGGGGGACTGCAGGTGCCACCGGGTGGCCAGTCCGGTGGCACACTGCAGGTGCCACCGGGTGGCCAGTCCGGTGGCACACTGTGAGGGGGCCGGCCGTTTCATTTTAGAGCCGCCGGACCGGGTGGCAGCCTCGCCGGTCCGGCGGCATTCCGCTCACTAACACTGAAGAAGGAGGAGGAGGAGGAGCATGTGTCTGTCATGCTCCCTGCGGTTCCCACAATTCCCAGCACAGGATGTGGGAACCGCAAAGGAGCATGACAGACACATGCTCCTCCTCCTCCTCC